GGTAGAAAATGGACATCAGGCTTGAACAGAGAAAGCACGGACAGCCTTATTGTGATTGAAATGCTGAGAGATTCTGTGCCAATTTTCCACCACTGTGTACTTTGTTGCTATTTAAAACTGTATCAACTCTAACGAAGAATAAATTATTTGTGATTTTAATTTTCTCATTTGTTTCTTTAAATTAGATCTCGTTGACTCTCTTGTTTTGTCTGGAGACTGTGCTGTGGGTTTTTATATAAGTTAGTCCAGTATAAGCAGACTATATTTGTATTCTAGGACTTTATCAAAATTCTCTTGCCATGCCCAAGTTAATTAGAATTAACTGTTCAGTAATCAGCATGTTGTGTAGGCTGTTTGTTACAGATTCTTTCTCTGAAAATGAAGTCCATGAGGCTATAATCAAGATGACTGAATTAGATAAATGAGTTGAAGAGACAAAATTGTGCCGAACCCAACCTGGTGTAGATACGTTATCTCATTTGAAATAAGCTCAACTGACATTAAGAAATAATTTGTCTTGCCATCGCATCTTCTGTTGTCTTATTCTCCTTTTAATGGAAACTAAAATTGCAATTTTAATAAGCAGAATTTCCTCCAGGACTTTCTTCCTGGAGACTAGTGCATTTGCAAGGTTTAATTGTTTTATAACAGTCCTATTTCGTAAAAGTTTTTAATTGGTGGTGACAAAAATTACCTTATTCCTTTGACACCTAGTAAGAAGAATAACTTTACCAGTAGCTTTCTACCAAATTTGTCATTTCCGTGTAGGCTCTCTGTATTCTGACACTAAAATTTTCTTTTTATCAAAGTGTCTTGTAATGAGTACATATCACTTGATTTCATAAAATTGCAGGATCAAAAACATTAATAAAAAAAAATCAGGGCCATTGTTGAGAAAACATTTCAAAAAACTTGAGTATGTTTGAAATCATGTTAGTATTATTCTGTGGCTTTATTCCTATGGCATCGTGCTTTGGTTTTAAATTTTTTAGTGGAATTTTTAAACATGCACCAAAATGAAGAGAATAATACTGTGAGCTCCTGCAGTCCATTAAATCAGTTTATTTGCTTAGCAAGTGGTAACTGGTTTTGTCTTCTCTATATACCATCTCACAAATTTAAGCGAACCCTTTTATTTAATCCCTGAATATTTCAGTAAGGATCTCTAAAAGGTACTTTAAAAAAAGAAGACAAAACTGGACCTTAAGGACTCCTGCTCTTAAAATTGTCTTAGTGTTAACATTGCAATGAAAATGGTCTCAGAATCTCTATATGTAAACCCACTGCCTTTTCTTTCATTTAAAAAAGTCAGTCACACTAGAGATTAACAAAAATACATTGTATAAAAAACTGGACATGCGCCATAATTTCATAAAAGATTTGATGCATTGCTTCCAAATTGATTTTATGAGTATAAGCCAGTATATATCGTTTTTTTTTTAAAGTAAAATACTGTTTTTCTAAACTTTTGTGTAATTTCCTTTTTTAAAAAATAGAAATTTCTTGAAGGCTTGCTGTTCCTGTGTTGCCTCTAAAGTTTTCTTACACATTTGACAGAACTTGTTTTGAGTATGTTTGTGCTCTGAATAGTCTATGAAGTACTTTTTTTTTTTTTTTTTTGCGGTACTGGGGATTGAATATATAGTACATTTTTAATATAAGATTGTGGACATTAAAAAAGTAAATGACATTTAAAAGATTAGATGACTTTAGATCACCCCAAAGTGTCCCTTTACCAACACCAATTTATTATATTTAAAATTCCATATTTTTAAAGAATGTTATTTGTAAGTTGAACATCATTTCAAATGCTTAGTGATGGGGGCCAGGGAGATGGCTCAGTGGAATAAGCGCTTCCCTGGCAAGCGCAAGGGTCCTAGTTCAATCCCTGGTTCCGCAAAAAAAAAAAAAAAAATGCCTAGTGACAGTTTGTTATGCTGAAACAACTCTTATGTCCTTCATCAGTTTCTTTGTCATGGTGGCTGTGGTGAGAGAGGACACACATGGACACATACAAAACTATGTGCCCACTAGGCCTCTGTGTTGTCTTCCAAGTCTCGTCTGTTCATTACTTTTTAAACTTTGGTTATGATGTCTTTCACTGTAGCAGTTTGTAGATTTTTATTTTCTTTAATGTATTTAGTACACAGTCTACAGGGTCTCACTACACAGATCGGACTCGTAGTGATGCTCCTGTTTTCAGCCTCCCAAGTGCTGAGGGTACAGGTGCGCGCCACCACACCCAGTCTAGTTTATAAATTTTTAAGTAGTAAAAAGCTTGTGACTTGCAGTTTCCTAACTTGCAAAGTTATAAAAGCAGTCCTCATATCTGCTTGCATTTTGTGAAACTTGTTATACATGGTACGATTTTGGGTACTGACTTTTTTCCTTTATGGATAACCAGTTGTTTGAACATCAGTTAATAAATATCCATTTTTTTCTTTCAGTGACTTAAGATGACATTATACTGTATTTGAAAAATTAGAGTTAAAGCATGCTTTATTCCATTTCAAAAGTTACTAAAAAACTGAGTTTAAATATAATATTTAATTGCCATAAAATTCTGAGCTGTGTCCCTTACTCCCTGCAAGATTAACTTTTAAAATTTGTTAGAAGTTATCTGCAACATAGAACGACTACTTAGTAGTAAGAGAATTATTAAAATGTTTTCATATAGAATGAATAAAATATCTTACACATTTTTACTTGACATTTAGATACTTTTCAAGTTTTTGTTCTCTGCAAATTACTTTATACCTGCCCAAAACTTGCTACTGGGTTCCTAAAGAAAGAGCTTAAGAAATCACTACAAAATCTTATTTTTTTTTCTGCTTACAAATCTAAGTTTCATAAAGTAATGTGATTTTCATATATGCAATAGTGACGTATCAGAAGGGTGACAGGGATTTATGTTCAGTCTGGGGAACTTTTGAGACTGAGGTGTTTTACATACACATGTGCCTAGATAGAAGTGCATGTGTGTTCATTGCCCACAGGGATATGTTATGTGTAGATATTTGGATGTATATTTTTAAATTTTACAAATTTCGTGGTAGATAGTTCTAGTTTAAGGATTTTGATGTGTGAGTCATATTTGTGATAAGGTATTAATCTTTGTGATAATATTAAAAGAGGATTCATAATAATTAACTGAAAAAGTGATGTTAAGATAAATCCTGAATATTCTGAAATATTTTCATTATTTTACATCTCTGTTATTGACTAATTTCCTTTTATTTCAAAATAACTCCATGTTTTTGGTGGCTGCCTAGAGACATTTAAAATCCTGGTTAGATACTTACCTGGCAGGGGAGATACCATGGTTATAAAATCCTGGTTAGGCTGGCCAGATAGCTCCGTGGACTAAAGAGCCTGCTTAGGCAGAGCTCAGTGGCCAGGGTTCAATCCCTGGTATTGCCCCCCACCTCACCCCCCGCACTGAGACAGTGATTGAGATGGGGCATGGTGATGCACACCTGTAACCCCACCTCTTGGGAGGCTGAAAACAGGAGGATCACTACAAATCCAAGTAGCGAGACCCTATAAACCCTGTCCTAAATAAAATAAATAAATAAAATCCTGCTTGCAGCTGGATGTAATTTCTACAGTTTTTTTAGGTTCATGCCTGTAGGATGTAAGCTGCAGTGGTGTGCTCAGCCTCTAGGTCCCATTCTTTTTTTTTTTTTTAATTTTATTTATTTATGTGTGTGTGGCCAGTTCAGCCCACCAGGGGGCGGGCTGGCTGGCATGTGGTGCTGGGGGATTGAACCGCGGTCCCTGTGCTTTGCGAAGCTTGTTCTAAGTAGGTGCTTCAGACCACTGAGCCATCTCACCAGCCCCCTAGGTCCCATTCTTAATAAGCAGCACAAGTAGAATCAGAAATCTCCTAAAGCTACCTTCTTGATATCACCTTGGACTCTGACATAGAGGAATGACATTTTTCTCTCATCAAGAGTTCGTTTTAGCAGTAAAGCGTACACCTCTAGTATAGGATCATGTAGTAGACGGCTAGCTCATCCTACTCTCTTATATACTCTGTAGCAGTCGTACACTTTAGCGTATGACGTGTATAGTTTACAGTCATTCAAAACAGTCATTCATCCTCCATACCCCACAGAAAGCATTTGAGTTCCAAAAACTGGATTTTCGAAAAAACAGTTTGAATTTCAAGTTGCAAATCAGTGGCACTCTTTGGTTCAGTGAAATAAAATTTACCTAAATGTTCCAGTGTTTAAATGGCTTTGATCTATAATTTATAATCGTTTATTAAAATATAGTAAGTTATATTCTTGACTGATGAAGTTAAAGAATGTTCTTTAATATCTTTCAAG